ATCTTATTCGATTAATGTTAATACTTGTAAATCTCGTCAAGCATTCATGATTATAACTTATGTTGACAACAAATCAAGTTCCTTTCATAGCTCAGGTGTCGGTTATACCATACATTATGGGCTATGAAAGTGTCAAGCATTTATTGTACCAAGTGTTATACAACAAATACAAAACATGTTAGTATCAAACATGTAAGTCCATATTAAGTTTACACTATACTTATTCTTACACCATTAGTGTAACCTTTTCACCTTCATATAATAAACTTAGCTAAATATAATGAAAGAAAGAAAAATAAATAAACAAAATAAGAACATAAATAAGATAAAAGTTAACTAAGTAAAGGAAAGGAAATGAAAGCCATAAACTTGATATTAATGAAAGCAAACATAAACATTAAAAAAATATAAAGAGAGAAAGTAAGAGCATAATCTTGATCTAGAGACCAAAATGCCTAAATGCATGGCAAATGCCTCCTTTTATAGGCCAAAATTAGGAACTATTGATTTGATGACTAATTGATGAGTGGGTGACCAACTCTTGACTTGGTGACAATCCTTATATTCTCTTGTTTGCCCAAAATATCATTGATAACGTCAAACTTAGAGCCATTTGAAAACATGAAAGTTGTAGAAAATTATCTCATCTTTCTTTTGTAAAAAATTCAGCTCATTTCGACTTCTAGAACTCCAGATATGGCCAAAATACTAAACAGTACTCGGGTTGGAGGACAGATTCGGCTTCTTTGTTGTTGCTACAATTTGGACTTGAAAATAGCCTTTTTAGATCTTGGACTCCATATGAAAGTTGTAGGCCTATGTCTTACCTTTTCATCTATATAAAGTAGACCTAAATCTAAGATCTATAGCTTCAGATATGACCCAATTACTAAACAGTGTTCTGATTTGGATTGCACCGACATTTCTTTTCTAAGTTTGGCCATCTCTTTATCCTTTCAATTTCAGTTCTTAAATTCATCAATCAATCCTTTCATTTATGTGATAGGCCTACATTTAAAATGAGCATTTATCACAAATTAAATGTATCTTATATTATTAGATATATTATTATAAAACATGCTTTAGTTAAGGAGTTATTGATATTTCAAGTGCAAAATGATGATATAAAACCTTGATAAAAATACACTTTTAAGTACTAATCAGTAGATATCTCTATGGACTTTGTTTTAGGTCTACCCAGGTCAAAGAAAGGTAGAGACTCTATTTTTGTTGTGGTTGATAGGTTTTCTAAAATAGCGCATTTCATTGCATGCAATAAAACAGATGATGCATCTCATATCGCAGACTTGTTTTTTAGGGAGATTGTACGTTTGCATGGCATTCCTAAGAGTATAGTGTCAGATCGTGATGTTAAGTTCCTTAGCTACTTTTGGAAGACCTTATAGGGAAAATTGGGAACTAAACTCTTATTTTTGACAACATGTCATCCTCAAATAGATGGACAAACTGAGGTAGTGAATAGAACATTATCCCAACTTTTGCATGCTATAATTTAAAAGAATTTAAAGAGTTAGGAAGAATGTTTGCCTTTTGTTGAGTTTGCTTATAATAAAATTGTGCATTCGACCACTAGTTCTTCTCCATTTGAAATTGTTTATAGTTTTAATCCACTGACTCCTATGGATTTAATTCCTTTACCTTTTGAAGAAAAAGTAAGTTTAGATGGTGAAAAGAAGGCAAAGATGTTGAGACAACTCCATGAGGGAGTTCGACTGCAAATAGAGAAAAGGAATAGCCTTTACGCTTCTAAAGCAAATAAGGGATGTAAAGTGGTTGTTTTCCAGCCTGGTGATTGGGTTTGGGTGCACATGCATAAGGAATGATTTCCTAACCAAAGGAAATCAAAATTACAGCCTCATGGTGATGGTCCATTTCAGGTTTTAGAGAGAATCAATGACAACGCATACAAAATTAACCTTTTAGGTGAGTATGGTGTTAGTGTTACCTTTAATATTGCTAATCTTACGTTGTTTGACACAGATTTTGATTCAAGGTCGAATCCTTTCGAGGAGAGAGGGGATGATGTGGACCAGGCCAAAAATACCAGGAGGGACCCATTACATGTTCCAAATGGTCCAATGACTCGGTCCAAGACAAAGGCATTGAAAGAGGCATTGAATGCATTGGTTTTGAATGTTTCAACTAAGTCAGAATTGAAAGGTTCATTAGAGTATCAAAAGGAGACCCTAGTACATCTTATCCGTGTGCAAAAGGGGTCCAACATAACCTTATTTAGGTCATGAGGTGAGGACAACAAAGGAAACAAAACAATCCTTCTACAACTTGGAAACAACATGGGTAGCCACCTTTTCTTTTTGTTTCTAGAATTAAGGGGCTGCATGGAAGGCTATAAATAAGCTTTGAATTAGTTCTATAATATTTTACTTCCTTCTCTTCTTCTCATGACAGAACATGGATTTAATATTATGGGTTTTTTTTTTATTTTGTTAGCTACAGCCCAAGGCTTATTTGGGTTTAATTAATACTTTGTTTTCAGTTAGGATCTAAAACTTGTTTGGATTAAGTTATGGGCTTTTCAGTTTAGGGTTTTGGGTCAGTTTTAAGTGGACCTCATTTAAGTCCACATAAGGGATCTAGTAGGGTTAACTTTTCAAGAACTATTTAAACTCATGTAAGCCAAAATTTCAGCAGCTTTTGGGATTATAATTACTTCTGAATTTTTTTTCAGTTTTAATGTGTGAGAGTGATTCTTGCATTCTTCAGTTCTTGAAAAACTAAATCTGACTTATCAAAGATTAACTGGCTTCGTGACGTCATTCTATTCAATCCAATAGTGTTGGTGCCTTGAGGCAAGTTTCCATTGTATCACACTCCTATAAGACTTATTTCGGCTTTCCGGGATCAGATCTCAATCTTCATTGTGAGTTGCGTGACCACCTGATCACAAGGTTCGCATTACAATACTTCTTTTAAGGCCTTTATTTTGGATCTAATAATCGGTCCATTTCACGAGTTGATTCACATCATTATAGTTAAACAACTCTCTTGTAAAGTTGTTTTTGTAAATGTTTTTTATTTTTGTACCTTTTTAACAAGGAGTTTGAACACCATGAAAACCAGAAAGGAATGTCCAATTAAAATGAATTAAAAAAAAAGAAAAAAAAAGAACAGAACTGTCGGTATCTAGACCACAATGTAAGCAAAATTGTTGACACAACATTGCCTGCCTGTAGGTTTGCCAAAAGCAAACAACAAGGGTGATGTGCCGCATATTTCGGACTTTCATGTCAATTATTCAAGCATTTGATATTATAACTTGAATCAATTATTTTATTATACAAGCAAAACGACAGTAAAAGGAAAGGAAGTCCGAAACTTTAAGAACTTGAATCGTGAACAATTGAGATAAAACAAAATCTTGACAACTATCACATGGAGAAAATAAGGAAAAAAAAGACAGGACACTGGAATCCAATTGTTCCAGCTCATAGACATAAGGTTGTAGTGGAGCAGAATTAATTCCACTGCATAATCTATACAAAAGAGACATAGATAATTATTGAGCATATTGAAATTTTCCATATAGAATAAATGATTGGAAGCTCACCTGAAATACAATATCGGCAAACAACTGCAATTGTTTCGTGCCAAACATCATTTCCTTTATTCGGTATTCTGCAAAAAAAAAAAAAAAACTGTCTTGACTAGGAACATCTCTACTAAAATAGTTATATGCAATTAATAGCACATTGCAGTTTTGATAGGCAAGTCATAAATTCATTCTTTCCAATTATTTATTAATTTTTTTCATATATATATATTTGGAGTTTTTTTAAAACATTATTCATTTATTTATTTACACGATAGATATGGATAATCCACAATTTAATGAATGATCCACAATTTAATATTATATTTAATAAAAATTTTGATAATTATTATAAAAATGTAATTAATCATATTAAAGACCATATTAATTATCATGATTGTAAAGGCAATGGTGGCTCTAGAAGGGTTGGTGATGATAGAGACGATGAAGAAAACAACAACGACAATGATAACAAAGACGATAATGATGACATTACTGATAAAAATGACAATGATGACAATGATGAGGATTGAGAATCACTTTTTAGGTGCCAGTTTGATATGCAAAAATTAAGTTTATGCATAGCTTGGGCTATAAATATATATTATATTAATTGTATGCACAAAGAACCTTGAATGGTTTCATACAATACAAGTATGTCCCCAAGGGGCGTAGCGTGGTGGCAAAGGGCTTGAGATCTACACAGTAGGTCTCGAGTTCGAGTCAGAGCATGCATATCTTATAAGAGCCCGGGATAGCAAGGGTTTTACTTGCTTACTTGGACCCACAAAGTGCGCTTTTCGAGGAGTGGGGTTTTCTCGAAAATGATGTGTTAACATGTTTAAGATGGACACTACAACTTTCTTGAGCCTTTGGAATGATTTAGAAACACAAAATGGGTTAAAACCTTCAAGAAAGAATAGCGTTCTTGAGAAAATGACAATATTTCTATATACAATAACATTAAAGGCTTCAAATAGAAAAGTGCATGAGAGATTTCAATATTCTAGTTAAATTATTAGTAGATATATAAAACAAGTCTTTAAAGTAGTATGTTTATTGTCAAGGTGAGACGTATTTTTTTTTATTGTTAAGGTCAAGTAAATTGTTTAATGAATATTGTTAAATAATTACAATCTAATTGTCATTTGTTAATTCATATAGAATTGTATTGGTATGATTGATGATGTTTATGCTTGTATATTATATGAAAATCAAATTCTATTTATTAGAAGAAAAGATTCGCTGACATTAAACATTATGGTTACTTATATTTTTAACATGCAATTCATGTTTGTGTGGGAAGGATGGAAAGATAGTGCATATGATATATGTATTTTTCTTGAGGCTATTAACAATAGCAATATAACCACCAGAAGTTAGTGATATGATACAAAATTGAATCACAACTAATGTAAGTTTAATAATATGCATTTTTATTTACTAATTTAATGTAAAGTTTTGCAAGTTATTTTTAATTATGGGTAAATACTATTTGATTGATTGATGTTGGATATCCCAATGAGTATGGGCATTTAGGTCCGTATAAAAGTGAGAGGTATCACTTATAAGATTTTACGCTTTATGGACAACCAAAAGGTTGGGAAGAAGTCTTTAATTGTGCACACTTATCACTACGTAATGTGATAGGTCGGGAAGAAGTCTTTAATTGTGCACATTCATCACTATGTAATGTGATAGAATGTTCTTTTGAAGTATGAAAACAGAGGTAGAGAATTTTACAAAACATGACTTCTTATCCATACAAAACGCAAGTTCAAATTATAGTTAAATTAATGACATTATATAATTATATTAGAAGGAGATCGTAAGATGATGTGGCATTTGTAAAATTTGATCGCAATCCCAATTTTGTTCCCGATAATTTTTTACTTAATGTTGTTGCACACTAAAAAAGTCATGGATCGTAAAGGCCTTCCTGTATGGATTTTATACACGATGGAATTGCAAATAGTTTAATGAGATAAAATAATAACCTTTTCCTAAAGGATTATTCATTTCATAATGTAATAATAATTAAATCTACATTATTTTAGTTTTAAAAATATTAATAAATGTTCTTTTTAGTCATTTTATTACCAAACCTCAATATAAAAAGCATTTTTAATTAAACTTATCAAACTGTTTTTTGTTCAACTTCAATTTTAACCATAATGTTAGCCAAATACATATTTTATAAAGTCAAACTCAACTAAAAGTGATTTTTATAAAATAGCTTTTTTTCAAATCGCAACCACAAAAGCTACCACAATGTCAAACACACCCAAACATAAGGGTTGGAAGTACGATAAACTCAGCCAAAATATGACATTTGGAGGGCCCACCCCTTCTTCTTCACTTTAGTAAAGCCAACCTCTTTGTCGCCAATGCTGACACAATGCGCACGTAGATAAAGAAAGCTAAATCCCAGTGGTTGGGGGGGTCGGTGTCTTTCTTTTACGACCATCCACCAGCGATGGCAACAACTACTATTAAAGAAGAAATAAAGCAAAGAGAGAAGAGAGTTGAAGCTCAAAGTGGTTAGATCTCTTTCCTTAGTGTGTTTGCCTCACCGTCAGCCAAATAAGAAAGAGGAGTTGATGATCTATGCAATCTAGTGGGTCTCAATTTGTTCAAGTCATTAGAGTGTGATTGCACACACCACCATCCATGGACGCGCGTGAACTGTACGCACCAAAGTTGTTTCAGTAATTTCAAGTTGATTTCAGTTTACTTTAACCTTCTAAAAAGATTGATTTCGCACCTAAATGTATTTTTTGAACATGCATGATCAATTA